AAAATGGATAAGGTAGTGGTTATATGAACCTTTTTTTGGATTACCGGATCGCAAAAATAACTGTAGAATCTTAAGAGAACTTATTAAAATAATGGTGAAACTAAAATTTATAGACGACCATTGAGCGACGTTTGAGTGACCTTAAGAGGAGTATCTACTTAATAACTAGGACCAAATGAGGGTTATAAAAGTGTGCGAGAAATTTACAGTTGATGATTAAGATTAGGAATTAAATTTCGGGATTTTCATCATGAACTGACATTATCTTGAATAATGCAAAAATTCAATTTATCCAAATGGATGAGCTAATTGGTTGATCCATAAATTCTGGTCATACTAATATAATGTACTTAATCCAAATACCATTATTTTAAAATTTATAAAGGGAACCTTAAAAAACTTAAATTTTTCATTCTCTTTCCATCAGTAAAATCTTTATTTGAGTTGACTATAACGAAAATTTCTGTTAATATAACTTCCATCAATAATTTTTAAATCATTTTTAATAAAAAAATTTATTTCCTGTTGTGTTAATCTTTTTCCCCCTTAGTACTATTATTTCTTCATGCAGAAAAATTTAACGAAAGGGTATTTTTTTCTAGAAAAAAAGTCTTTTTTTGTGAACTCTATATTTATAAACATAATATTTCTATTTAATAATTAAGTAAAACAGTCCATTGTTACTCATAGAAGTGTGATAAAATTAATCTATAGTTTTACTGTTTAGTTGAAACATGAATGATTTCTTTCTTTGTTATTTCCCTTAGTTAAAATAAGAGAATGATCTTAACAACATTAAATATTTATAGATCAATATGAACAGAATTAATTCAACAGTTAAATTCTTTCAGTATATACGTGATTAAATTAATGTAAATGATCATTAGGAATAGACTGATTTAACTGAATATTTAATGGTTCAGTATTATATTTCTAATTGTAAATAATATTATCATTCAGTGCTTCCAGGTATTCAATGGTGGTCTACTTATTTACTTACTTACGCCTGTTACTCCTAATGGAGCATAGGCCACCGACCAGCATTCTCCAACCTACTCTGTTCTAAGCCTTCCGCTCTAGTTCCATCCAATTCTTGTTCATCCTTCTCATGTCTACTTCCATTTTCCAGCGTAATGTGTTCTTTGGTCTTCCTCTTTTCCCTTGGCCTTCAGGATTCCATGTGAGGGCTTGTCTTGTGACGCAGTTGGGTGCTTTCCTCAATGTGTGTCCTATCCACTTCCAGTGCTTCTTCCTGATTTCTTCCTCCTCTGGGATCTGGTTTGTTCTCTCCCACCGTTGGTTGTTGCTAATAGTGTCTGGTCAACGGATCTGAAGTATTTTGCGTAGACAACTGTTAATAAACACCTGTATTTTCTGGATGATGGCTTTCGTAGTTCTCCAGGTTTTCGCCCCATGCAGTAGAACTGTCTTGACATTTGTATAGAAAATCCTGACCTTTGTGTTGGTTGACAGTTGTTTTGAGTTCCAGATGTTCTTCAATTGTAAATATGCTGCTCTTGCTTTGCCGATCCCACCTTCACATCTGCATCAGATCCACCCTGTTCATCAATGATGCTGCCCAAATATGTAAATGTTTTTACATCTTCCAAATGGTGGTCTAACAACAATCGAATGATGATCTTAATCAAAAATTTAATCATCTCTACAATCCTATACTGAAAATATTATTATTAACAACTTATTGGATATCATTCAAAAATTAACAGAATAATTGTCATTCTTGTCCAAAATCAACTAAATAAACTAGATATTAAAAATTATTATTACTATTGTTGTTGTTTTTATTATTTATTTTAAACGATTTACTCTTTATTTAAAACAATAAAAAATATGTTAATCATTTGAACAAGTAGAGTTGTCATTTATGACGGGTTATTTTTTGTTTACTGATTTTTAACTAGAAATTCTAGATCATTCTTGTAATATTCTGTAACCAGATAGAGAAAAAAAGAATTTTCTCTTCAGCAAAACAAACAAAAATTTCAATTTCATTTTTATAAGAGAGATCATAAAAAAATTTTTTTTGGTAAACCAACTTTAATTTCTACTCAATAACTGATAGAAAAATAACTATTACTTTTGTAGATATGAACTATTAAACAAAAAATGGATGCTTTTTTGTATAGAAAGAATCTGTTTAGTTGAAAATGAAAAACATTATTGGAATTTAAGATGCTAAGTGGATAACGTGATGGTATTTGAAACGAATGGTACTAGGTTCGTGTCCCAGAGTAAGCATCAACTCTGAGGTGTAGGTGTATCCAGATGACAAGTCAGCTGCTCATCATAGATTCCACTGCTAGCTACTTTCCTTCCTTGCTTAGAATGCTTGCGAATTAAGGCATTATCAAAGCAATACGTACAGTATGCATATATGTCAATAACAGATTGATTAATTGAGGTGCTACATATCAACAAGAAGATTCAAGTAAACAATATCAAGTGAATTTCATTCTTGTTTTTGTTATTAGAAAATAGTATCATTCACATATCTAATTAAAGTCTGAAATGTTTTGATCTAATTCATGAAAAAACATTATGATTATTTGTAAAGTTTATGAGAATGAAAACAAAATAAACATTTGAATGCACTTTTCACCGAATAATTAGTAAACTTGCGGGTTTTTTCCATAAATAAAGATATATATGATTTCAACTTACGTATTTTTTTTGTTACATATACAGGATATGTAAATTGTACATTATAATAACCTAATTGTTATTTCATCTAAAATAAGTTTCCCACTTTGTAATTCGCTCTAATAAACAAATGTTACAAATATTTGTTAAACTCTAGAATGATCAGGATAAACTAAATAGCAGTCTCGAAGTGAATATCAACTCTGAAATCCGTATACATTCGGCTGATAATTACGAACTTAAGACGAAATGTGCGTCCTGAATTCTACTATTAGCCGCTGTTTATCTCTGCTTAAAAGTGCTTGTGATTTAGTGACACTATTGAAGCAATTCTGATAGGGTGCATATATATCTAAAGAGACTGATCAACTGGAACCTTAAACGTCCATGGAAAGATTCAAATAACCAATACATATAACTTAAACTTCAATACACTCTTTAATATTTTGCACAGCAAAAATGATATATTTATGAGATAAATAACAAATTGTCACTTGATATTACAATCATGGTAATCATTAACTTTCAAAAATAATTTCACTCGGTTTTAATAAAACATTATTTGTAAACAAACAGTACTAATTTTGAACCAGAAAATATGATCATCATACATGTTTATTCGACAAAATGTAACCGGTTAATATGAGTAATGACAGATAGTTTGAAGAAAATATTAATCGATTATAAGTAAATATAATTTTACTAAACAAATTTATTGTACTTTTCCACTGGTTATGCTTATAATACATCCGTTACGGACGCCGTGATTACGTTCAAACATACTGTATAAGATATTAACAAAAGGTATCAGGTTTCTCCGATTTATGTGAAAAACTTAAGTCAAACGAAATCTGGTGTGAGTATGTGTAAGTCCTAGCCGACTTACCATACACTACTGCAATGAAACAAGAAAGTAACGAGACGTATGAGTGAAGATAATGTTTATTAAGTTATATGAATAAACATAAGTAATATATTTAAAATGGGAACAAATTGGATTGAAAAACGAAGCATTTGTAATGAAATAACTTGAATAGAATTTCATTTTTCACATCATCTAGTTAGATTAAATTTATTGACGGATAAGATGGGGTATAAACCTTTCGATTATAAACAATTAAATCAACCAATTAATAGTGGCTACGTTTGAAATAGCGAATAAATAGTTTTATAAACGCAGTCATTTTATGGATTATTTTCGAATCAAATCTCTTCTAATAATTTATGTTATAAACTTAGTTTAAATGTACCTTTCACCATATATAACAATTGCTAATTTTTGACCAGAGTACCAGCGGCGTTTTATGTCACCGACTTGAGAAAACAAGAACATGAGAGTAAAGTCGGAAAATATGAATAAATCGATTTTTGTGAATAAAATTTATGGAAACTGTTATAATGTATATGGAACCGAATGAAATAAAAGTTTGTACAACTACTCTGTTGACTTCCGTTTTCCGTTTTTGTTATATATATATATATATATATATATATATATATATATATATATATATATATATATAGAGAGAGAGAGAGAGAGAGAGAGAGAGAATTCGAAATAAAAACCATTTTACAACACAGTCATTCGAAGCATTAATAAATAATTAGTTAAAATAATCGATAACTATATGATAAATATTTTGCTTCGTAACTTGATCATTACATGAATTTTGTCATCTTCGTATCTTATAATAGTACACTGCCCATCAAAATCATCCTAATTACAAATGATAAGCCCAAATTATATTTTAAAGTTAATTATATACTATAGATATTGTTGTAACAGATGTCATGTTCTGCAGTACCTCTGTGACATTTGCAAGTTGATTATATTATTGACAACAACACTAAAGGAATCTTCGCATCCTAAGAGAATTTTTGTTTACTTGAAGGTCATTTACTACTGCAAGAAAATATTTTGTTACTTTTTTGTCTATTGAATAAAAGAAAGCACATTAGTTTTCATTGCAGAAGTGACTTTAATGAAAAAAAACCGTATTCAAATACAGATTATTAGTAAAATGCTAGAATCCTGAGGTTGAACTCATTGATTTCTGAATCAAAATGATAGTGTTTACTTTAATTTCTTGCAACACTTTTCAATAGACGCTAGAAAATCGGTTTCGAATCTTTTTACCAAACATCGTAAGATTTACAAAACGTTTTTAAAAACAATGAAAGTTTAATATTAGCTTCTATTTCTATTATTGTATTCCATGTTTAAGAAAACACTTACATTTTTCTTTACTTTTGTTTTAAAGGCAAATGACCGACAAACAATATGTTTATTGTATGCGTCATCCGTCGTGGCTGCAAGTCTTTCAATTGCAGTCGCATCAATGCAATACGCTGAGGTAATTGTATTTGGCATATGTTTATATGAATTGTTATATTTCTTAGTGATTCTACCTAGATTATAATAACCAACGCGAGACTCTAATTTATGGACGAGTCAATCAGAGGCGTTTTAGGGGTTTCAAGATTACAGCGCCAACTTCAGTGCTTAGTGCTAACGTACGATCGGTTCACAGGGAATTTTGTAAAAATGTAATAATTGAGCGGCCATAATAAATAAAACGACGAGACTAATTTGTGGACGAATCAGTCAGGTACAAGATAATAGATCTCGGATTTTAACGCGTAAGCCTTTCATCCATTTGGCTAAATAAATTTCTGGCATTATAGCCTATGTCAATTCGTGATGGAAACCCCATATATAACTCCTAACTAAGGCAAATTACGACAATTATTGCGAACTGGATAATAAAAGCATCAGTAACACTGGCTGCAGCCAGGTACTACAATATATATGGATGTTTGGAGAGCGTACAGACTCCTACAAAGGCTTAGTTATGTGCATCGTGTCGTTACACACAAGTGGCATTTTGTGCACTCAACAACCGGAGTGCACATAAACAATATTGAAGCTATGTGGTCGAGGCTGAAAGAGTTTTTGAGACTTTATCATGGCTCCAGAGGCCGACTATTCTGTAGCCTTATGGATTATTTCCTCTATTGCATGGATTACGATTTTAGAACATCTGAACCTCTTTCTAACCTTGACCAGTTTTTGAATCACGTATAAGAAGTGTATCCACCTTATTTTCTTGGTTTTGTATAACATATTTCTACTCTATACTGACTGTTTGCTGATTGACTAATATTTCTCAAGGTCACTGAAGATTCGTTCAAAGTTCGTCCATAAATTAAAGTCTCGCCATAACCAATTTTCTCTTCAAGTTATCCATTAGATACTTTGTTGTGCGAAATTTAGTTCACAAGAATTCGAAGTCTGATGAAAGACGTATTTTTTAATTTGAATGATTCAGAAAAAAATACTGTTTGCATTAAAATTATGAAAGAAAAAAAATAGAACAAGCTTTGTAATGTTATAGAATTATAGTTGGTGTCACTCGTTTACTAAAGATATGTTTCTGCATTCATAAGATGTTTGATTTTAGTTAAAAATCAGTGGTTGGAAAATATTTTAATGCTAGAAGTCAAATCCCTCTGTTTCCACAGGGTTACAGGTGCATCGTAAAATCTAGAGCCATCTTAGGTTAGACGACTCCTATCTATCCTACCTATCTAGATGATAATTACATTATACATAAAGTTACATAAATGTTATTGCTTTTTGTTGATAAGATAGGAATTACGTTTACATAATTACTTGAATTATATCACTTTATATATATATATATATATATATATATATATATATATATATATATATATATACGTTTTCATTGGTAAACAATTCTGTAGATGATATGCAAGGTGAAGATTTGTATAAATGTTTCTGAATCTTATTAACTAATCACCAAAAAACGGGGTTAGCAACTAAATCAATAATATTACTGAAAATCTGAACGGATTAACATAAAAGCATTTTTTTATAACACAATATTTACATTAAGGTCTTATTAGTACACTAGATTATATGAAATTGTCCTCCCCTTTCATGATAACTATGGAACAGTTATTGATTAAATGCATTTAAACTTAACATAATACTACCCTGTCAAATTTGTAACTTAGAGTGTTCTATTTCCAGATAATTATAAACATTTTGTACGAATTACTACTGATATAAAAAATTGAATGATCGTTCACCAAACTTCATATGTCAAATTTTTTCTGTCTTATAGATTAGATTGTTGGTTACACAGTTTTCTGAAAATGTAATAGTACAGGCAAATGTAACTCTTTATCTTCTAACATTTTGATAGAATAAGTATATATATATAATCAAATTTTATTAAGATACATTCACTAATAAATATTCTCAGAAAAGGGTCTTGTGGATATTGTAGAAACCTAATAGTTGAGTTCATGAGTCAACTGAAGCTTTACTACCATGGAAAACCTGGAAGCACTGGACAGCCGTTTCTTCCTATTGTGGGACTTCACAGTAGTGCTCATCCATGACTCGTGCGGTTCGAACCCGGTCTCACGCGTGAAAGCTTAACCTTTAGACCACTAAGCTGGCTGGCATCTGACGGTGTTAATGTCTACTATCAACCAATCCTCAAAACTGAGTTACCGTCCACCATTGTCTCCAGTGAGTTACTATCTCACAACAGACTCAGTTGAACTCCACTGGTCACGACTTCTCACTAGAACTCTAAGAAATACCTGTTGAAACCAGTCACTAGTGAGCATATGATGATCATTATCAGAAAGGGTTTTTGTGGATATTCTAATAATTTAATATTCATATCTATCCAAACTGTGTTATAGCGCTTTTTACCTTTTAATTACATTTTAGACAAAATAAAAACTGTCTAAAATATTTTTTTATAATTATCTAATCTATAAGCATTTCACATGATAAATAAACTTAACAATATTAGACATCTTTATTATGATTGGTTATAAAGTCATAATTTTTACTAGAAATATTATAAATCAGTCTAGACAACAAAAATAAGAATTAGGCAAAACATCAAAATGGAATTCTTTTCTTTTTTATGATAATAAAAACTTAGTTTTGATTTATTAATGTATATCATAAATAGATAAATAAATAAAATAGATCAAATAATAATTCAGTGATGTAATCAAAACTGACTATTGGTATTACAGAAATAAAATGCAAAAAAAAGAAAACTGAAGAAGAAGAAGAAGAAGGAGAAGGAGAGAAAGAAGAGGAAGAAGTAGAATACTTTTACCTAATTATGAGGAACAATTTTTTTGTTTTCATTCATTTATTCAATGGATCGTTCATTTTAAACATATGCAGGTAAACTAGATATGAGACAAATGATTAGTATTAATAAAGCATAGAAACAATTTCAGGGTGGTAATTTGAAGTGAAAAAAATTAATACAAAAAAAAGAAAAAGAAAATTATAATATACATGAATTCATCAAAATTTATACTAAGCATTAAGTTACTCATGGGGAAATATAAAATGAAGTGAATAAAGAATATTGAAAATTCACTAATATTAAATAAAATTTAAAAATTACTTATTGCTCACTTGGTATTGTTTGGCTTGTATCTTCCAATTGAGGTTTAAGACTGCAATTGACCAGTCTGTTATTGGCATATGTGCATACTGTGCGTATGTCTCGATATTACCTTAATTCACAAGCTATCTATGAGCAGTGATGGATAGTGGCTAGCAGTAGAATCCAGGACGCACGTTTCGTCCTATTTGGGACTCGTCAGCTAGATGTACCTGCATCTCAGAAAGTTGATGTTCACTGTGGGACTCGAACCCAGTACCATTCGCTTCAAACGGCATCGCGTTATCCACTCACCTACTGAGTCCTGATAGCCACAGTATGCACATATGCCAATAACAGACTGATCAATTGCAATCTTAAACCTCAATGGTAAGATACAAGCCAAACAATACCAAGCGAATATTTTCGTGCTTACAATATTATTTGTGTATAGTGTATTCATCACAATAGTACTTACTTTTCTGGTAAAATGTTTTGATTATTTATTCTAAGAACCATTGAGAACAATTTATAATGTTTATTGTTAAATAATGTACTTTAATTTATTAGAGAAAACTCAAGTATCTCAAGAAATAGCACCGAACTATTATTTTTCATAAACAAACACTACGTTACTTTATTATCCCTTTGAAATAACAATCAATATTCTGTTCAATAAACAACTTGAAATGTACCGACATGTACTTTTCAAATCATATTACTTATTCAAGTCCACAAAGTTAAATAGAATATTCTTGTCCAGTCACAGTGAATATACAACCTTTTAATTATTATAACAGAGGCAACAAGATTTAGTGGAAACGTTTAATGCTAAAGTTGATATGCAACCATAAGTTTTCGTTACACTGTGACATTTTTTTATTATTTAAACAATCATTCTAGATCTAGCTTAGATTGTCAAATAGGTGATTCCACATGTTATTGTTCATAAATAATCAATGTTTCATAATAACGTTGAACGTTCATAATGTTTAATTAGGACAAAACAACAAGTTCATTATTTAATCTTTGATGAAATCATGATAAAGGATATGTTATATGGTCTAGTTATACAATAAATCCCTATATATAGGACGTCATGTTGAACCTATTAACCTTTACGTCAAACCAAAAAAAAATAAATTCCAAATAGTATGAAGTTTACTAATGGTTTTACTTGTTTTTATTTATATACAAATATCTCATTTGTGTAACAATAATGATGTATTAACTATAAATTGAAATTGCATGTTATTCATTCACCTATATTACCTAAATTAGTATACTTCTTATATAGTCTACACTTCTTTGAATCAATATTCATGTAATCGATTAAAAAGTCTTTAAAGATGTAAGGAAAAAGATTTATATTTACCTATGTTACGACTACATTTAAATTAATCGGTTGTTCATTATCATGAACTTGGAAACGAAATGATATTAGTTTAAATATCAAGATGGAATTGTTTGGCTTGTATCTTCCCAGGACTCAGTAGCTGAGTGGATAACGCGATGGCATTTGAAGCGAATGGTATTGGGTTCGAGTCCCAGAGTGAACATCAACTCTAAGATTCAGGTACATCCAGCTGACAAGTCCAAAATAGAACACAAATGTTGTTTGGATTTATGAGTGCTTAAATTAAATGCATATTAAAGCATGCGTACTACATAGAATGATCCCTTAAAAAAACTTAAAATATGAAATATTAAATGATTTATCATATGAAAACATTTTGTTTTATATTACTCGTCTTTTTTAGTAGTACTATGCAAGATTTATTAATTGTATCATCATATGTAATTTTAGATTAATTAACTTTCACTTTGGTTGAGTTTTATTCTCTGAGCTGAGAATAGAACTCCACTAAAATAATCGATCTGAGCTATAGATTTTCTCCGCCATCTCAATTAACTTTCTTTTGTCCTCTATATTTTGAAAGCAATATATGAACTTTCACACATTGTATTTATTGATCACATCAAAAAACCAATCATAAACCTATTGAGGTAATCTAAATATTTGAAAATATAATCGTTAAACTTAAAATTTCCCACCTTTGAAACAATTTGTTAATAATTTCGTAGAGTCATCTAATGAGGTTCCAGAAGACACTTTCATTCGACATATTTAGATTTCAATGTTACAATTAATCAAGGTAAATGACTTTGGAAAATAGATTTTATACCAGAGAAATTACATTAGTCTTTTCTTGATAATAAGTTATATGATACAATCTACAAATGAGTCCATTCAATAGAATGTACTAGAAGTTTTAGATTTTGATAATTTAAATGTTCTTCTTTAATCGCTTTTTTATAATAATTTATTTAATATAGTTAAAAAAATAAATTATAGATTCATTTTCATTTATTTATTAGGCTACCTGTTTACCGCTAATTTATCCGTTCAAAAATTTGTGGTATTGTTGATTTAAATCAACTACTTATATTATCTATTAGATTGTTAGTTTTAATAAGTTTTTACTAATAATTTCGAAAAACCTTTGTTTCTATATATAAGAAAATTTAGAGATTTAACCTCTTCAGAGAATAAATAATTTATTCTCTAAAAAAGGGGTTTACACTGAGTCACAAAACGTTGGAAAATCTATTTTTTCTAACCAATGCTTGTTTATTCTGGTCAGTGTTTTTTGGCAAGATTTTTTCTATAAGATGTGGTTGCCGACCTTATGCCCAACCCTCTTCCTTTACCCGGTTTTGGGACTGGCAGTAACTCTAGGTAAGCTACAGGCTGCAAGGATTTGAAAACATTGCCTAGGACAGGGTTAAATGGAGAGTGTTGGCGGGCGGCCTATGCTCCTCCACGAAGAGTAACAGGCGTAAATAAGTAAGTAAGTAAGTACCCAGTGCTTAGTCTATTCGAAATTATCAAGTCGAACCTTGATGATGATACTTAAAAATATTTTTTCAATAGTTAATATTATTTCTAGCATTATCTACTACCTTACTTAATATGTACTATTTATATCATTCGTTTTGCTTTTACTTCATCTAAATCGCCTATACTTATTGCCATTAATCATTTCGAGTTGTTTTTTAGATCGGAATTATGTTATTATCTAATTTATCACTGAACTAATATATATATATATATATATATATATATATATATATATATATATATATATATATATATATATATATATATATATATATATATATATATATATTGAAATTCACTTCTTTCGCAAATCAGGGTATTCCTTTAACTAAACTTTTGGATTTACAACTGTGATGACTAATGTATTAGCAAAATGACTTCAATCGATATCATTTATTTCATGAAGTCTTTCTATAAATTTATTTTACCTAGGACTTCTTTGTTAAAAATCCATGATATATGGAGTTTTCCCTTAAAACTATCAGATTTCTGTCATTCTACAGTTTGCATACCTGCTATAAAAATAATATATATCGATATGTTCATAGTTTCAGTTTGAATTATTTTTTACTATCCCATGGGTTTTGTATGTAAATCATGACAAGTTCTTGATGATTTTAAGCCAGACCAAATGCATTTGTTTAGCGTCATTTGTGGCTTAAAATAAGTTTTTTTTTCATGAATCGACTGATTTCACTGTTAATAGTTACTGTAAAATAGGCAGATGAAAATCTGTTGATTCGGTAACAGTACAACACGTTGTCAAAAGCATTATTCCTTAGTTAAGTTCGATGGAACAGATTAAACCTACAATGAAGTTTATTTCTTTTACTGATATAATAATTTACCAGCATTCTAAATAAACTAAGGCACAGATGTTTCAGTAAAAAGTGAAACCCCAATGGTTGAACTTACTCTCAAAATAGACTGAAATCCTAGAAAGTAGTAGTTTAATCGTATGTTAATCACTAATATTTTCTGCTTAATTCTGCCGCTCTTTACCAGGGCTTTCATAGAGATATATGTACCTTTACATTAAGGTAATGCTTTGAAAAGTACTTGATAGCAAAGATCTAAATTTTCTTGGTCATAAACATGTGTTTATCTTATGTGTAATGTTGTGCAATAGTATTTGATATGTACATACTATTCTTAATTACCCCGAAAAAAGTATATGGAGGATGCTTTTGTAATTTAAATTTACCTACTTGAAAGCAAAGACAACTTGTTATTGTTATTAATACAGACAGGTTCAGGATCTTAATGTCTAGAAATTACAGCTATGAAAGTCAAACAATTATCTTCGTATTAATCTCCCCTAAGTAAAGCTTCTATCAAAATTACTCTGATATAAAAATGTTAACCATGTCATTTATGTTCATGAAAATCCTAAGTTTATTGACTTATTGGACTTGGAAGATTTCGCTGAGACCAACCAAGATACATTAAATTACCTTTATTAATAAAATTGGTTAATATGATTAATAATCAACTATTATACCACTGTCATTACGATTGCTTTATTTCGCATTTTTCTTCGTTTTCCAAGGTTGATCAACAGACTATTACTGCCAAGTGGGGTAGACCTTTGTTTTCAAGTAGTCTTTATGCCACATGCTGCCTACTATTAGTCATAATGGCTGGTTACTTCGAGTTTCATAGAATGGAGACATTTGAAGCTGTATATCGAGGAACTGGACCAGTTCCATTCAGTGTAAAATTTTCAGTTAAAGGTGAAAAAGTCAATCTATATTTACGGCTTGGGTTAGCAAGTAAGTGATTTTTCTCTGTGGTTTGAATCATTTAGATTTTTGATTGTTAAAACACAACAAAGTTTTCATTTATCACAGACGATAACCAAAATCTTTTAATGTGCATATTAATTTTCTGAAGTTTATTTAAGCTCGTTATCAGTACTTCTTTCAGATATGAATACTTTCCAATACCATAGTTTATAAAACAGTCAGCAAAAATTGTAATTGTTTAAATTTTATCCTTAATCCAATTATGACTTAAATAGGTTTTCAAACACAATATCGAAGTTATGCTAACATTCTTCATCTTAATGAAACAACAGAGGGTTAGTTAGTTGGAACTCATTGTTCAAATACATTGATTATTTCAACAGTTGAGATCATGAGTCAATTGAAGCTAGACCGCCATGGGAAACCTGGAAGCACTGGACGGCTGTTACTTCCTATTGTTGTATCCCTCAGCAGTGTGCGCCCCCGCTCCCGCCTCACGGGATTCGAACCTAGGTCCTACCAGTCTCGCGCCTGGCGCCTAACCGACTAGACCACTGAGCCGGCTAACAACGGTGTTAATGTTAACTTTAATTGATCCACGAAATTGAGCGACACACGCACCATTGTCATCAGTGAGTTACTATCTCACGACTGAACCGGTTGAACTCCACTGGTCACTGTTTCTCACTAGAACTCCAGGATATATCTCTTGAAGCCAGTCACTATTGAACATATGTTGATTAGTATCAGAAGGGAGTTTTGTGGAGATTGTAGTAATTTCAACAGTTGAGATCACAATAGGACGAAACAGCCGTCCAGTGCTTCCAGGTTTTCCATGGTGGTCTAGCTTCAATTGACTCATGATCTCAACTGTTGAAATTACTACAATCTCCACAAAAAACCATTTTGATACATTGATTATTGTTTATTATCTACAGTGTTAACCAAGTACACGACGGTCACTAGGATTTATTAAATGATCGCATATCAGATTGCATCTTGGTTTTTTCCTATGGTACAGGTATATCCAATAACCATATCTTATCACTTTCCTCGAATATTTTTTAACACGATAAGTTATATTTTTTAAATAAACAAGTAGGGAATAACATTAATTTCTTAGAACGAAAGAATAATATCCATTTTGAATTAATCATATGATACTCTCTTATTCTAAATCAACCAGACAAGTGAATTATTTGTCATTTGGAAGCTCATTAATATGCATAAAATTTTCAGCATGTGAAAATTTTCTTACGAACACACTGATAATCGTTATTCACTTTTATGGAGTTAAAAATATTCAGCCACAAATTTCTCGTGGATACCAGTTAGTACAACTTCAATTTTATTGTGAGTTTAATTTTGGAAACTGATGTGACATGCGGTGTCCGAAATCTGATACTAATACACGATATGCTACGCACTAACCCCGCAATCGACTAATTGAGCGAGAACACAAGAGTGAGCGAGAAAAAATATTGGACTACCGAATAAAGTTTACAAATACGGATTCATATATGTATGCCACTCTAATCCTTAAGAAATCGATCCAATTTCTAGTCAATGAAATGCACTTATCCTTTAGGTCACTTCCGATCGCCATCGACTGACCTCGTAAGGCTACTTCTGATTATCACTTTATATCAGAAACAATATCTTATTTTATTTTATCAGGATTATACATAAAAGTATATGACATCAGCATTTAATATTTCCAAGTGTATCATTCGACCAAGCATCTGTGTTTTCTGATAAGTAAGGTATCAATGGGACAATGACCGAGTGGATTTATGATTTAAGATTTGTGATAACGTCTGAAGATTTCCGCAATCAATGTCCTATCCACTTCCAGCGTCTTTTCCTAATTTCCTCCTCAAATGAAAGCTGAATTGTTTTCTTCCACAGTAGGCTATTTCTGATGGTATCCGGTCATTGGACAATCAGTGTCTTATGTAGACAATTTCTGATAATTGCTTGTATCTTTTTGATGATGGTTGTGGTAGTTCAGCAAGTTTAAGCTCCGTACAGTAGAACTGTCTTGACGTTCGTATTAAAGATTCTGACTTTGATGTTGGCTGATAGCTTTTTGGGTTCCATATGTTCTTCAACTGTAGGAATGCTGCTCATGTTTAGACAATTCTTGCATTTACATTTGCATTAAATCCTCCTGGTTCACCGATGATACTTCCCAGGTGTATGAAAGTCTCCACCTCTTCCGGACTTGTTGTTCTAGGTGTTGGATTTGAGGACCTTGGTTTTTCTCTCGTATATGTTGAGGACCACTACTGTAAAGACTGATTTTCCTACACTGACTGTCTTCACTTACATTTATATGAGATAGAAGATATGGGTCATCTTCAAAGTCCGAATTGTCTAGTTGTGTGCAAGCTGTCTACTGTATCAAGTGCTTTCCCTCAGATGTGGAGACCTTCATAGTTCAGTCAGCCACCGGAAGAAAAAGAATTATGAGAGTAAACAACCTTATTTGACACCATTCTTCACTTGGAATGCGTCTGCCGTCTTTCCTCCATCCACCACTTTGCATTGTAGCCCATCGTATGAATTCCGGATGATGTTGACGATTTTCTCAGGTACAGTGTCGAGCAAGGCTATCAAAGCTGCCAAACATTTTCTCATAGTCAAGGAAGTCGATGTCTACTGACGAGTTGCACTCAACTGATTGTTCAACGATGATCCGTAGTGTGGCGATTTTGTCTGTTCATGATCGATACTTAAGGAATCCTGCCTGCAGAACTTAAAGTTGAGGGTCCACTGAATCTTCCATTTGGTTCAACGACCCTCTGTTGAGAACTTTTCTTGGTAGTTCGATGCCTCTGTAGTTCTCACGCTTGATGAGGTTTCTTTCACTTGTATATTGATCAGGTGTCCTTCTTTCCAGTCCATCGGCACTTGTTTTTCCAAAATCTTCCTCAATAGAACGTGGAACATGTTTGCAGCTACTTCTATGTCTGACTTCAGAGGTTCAACTGGTATATTGTTAGGTTATGCTGCTTTCCCGATCTTGATTTATCTGATTGTCATCCTGGTTTCGTTGAATATTGGTGGGTTAACATTTATGGAAATGTCTGTGTGTGCTGCTACGAAGTCCGGTGGATTCAATGGATCTGGCTTATTCAAGAGTTCGTCAGTGTTCTACCCATCTGTTCTTCTGTTCTTGAATTTCAGTGAATGGCTTGCCTTCTTTGTCCTTGACCGGTCTCTCTGGTTTATCATATTTCCTTGATAGTTCCTTCGTTGTGTCAGATAGTTGTTTTATTTTTCCTTCTCTTGCAGCTTTTTCCGCTATCGTTTCTAGGTATTCCATGTCTTTCTGCTAGTCGGCTCTAATGCTTATCTTCACTAGCTCATTTGATTCTGTGTTATCATCTTGTGCCTTGACATTCCCTGTTCTCGTTCGACTGTTGCTAATTGCTGTTTTCTTATTCTTGCTTTCTTGAATCCAGTTCGGGGTTTTGATAGAGACCTATTCGTTATGATGATGCTTGTTGCTGCCCATCATCTTCTGGCACGTTGAGGTTCATTTTTCTTTGATTTCAATTCTCCTCCATGGTAGTTTCTTTTTGAGTAGATTGTGTTAGGCTCAGTACTCGTCGTTGAGAGTTATCTTGAATTTGTTGAGCATGTCAACATGTAGAAGGAAGGCTTTGTTGAACCTTTGTAATGTTACTTGGTCAGTCGTACAATGCTTTTTTAGCTTCATTTTGATCTTGAAAACCACCAGTTGAAGCTCTGCCAGCTCCTCTCTTTGTTCACACATCTTTAATTGACCGTCTAAATTATATAGTGATACAAATATATGATCGATCTGGTTTTGTGTAGTGTGATCCTATGAGACCCTTATAACTTAGTGTATGTGCTTGTTGTGGTGTGTAGTGCCACCTATAACCATTTTCTTGAATGCAGATAAATCTGAAAATATCCCGTCATTCTCGTCCCCTTCTCCCAATTCATGTCTTCCTGTGATATCTTCATACCTGGTGTTTTCTATCCTGACATCGAAGTTTAGGCCTCCCATCAGGATTGTCAAGTCCTTTCTCGAGCACTTCTCTACGATCGATTGCAGCCCCTCATAAAACTGATCTTCATATTGTTCCGTGTTATCACTGGTGGGTGCATAACACTGGACAACATTGGTTACGATCCCCTCCTTCTTAGTTTTGGATGATGCTTTGATAACCTTGGATCCATAAGATCCTGTAAGTGCTTTCAGTCCATCTTTGGACGACATCAGAGCAACTCCTTGTGTGTGAAGAGCATTTTCTTTTTCGTGATCACAGTACAGCAGCATCTCTGTCAAATCCAATCTTTTCTGTCGAGCTTGGGTCCAATGGGTTTCGCTTATTGCGAGCACCATCAAGTCGTATCTACTAATTTCCATAGCTGTTTGACTGGTCCTCCCGAAATCTCACATTGTCCGGACATTCCATGTGCTTATATTAATTGTTGCTCTGGTCGTTAAAAGAGGCATCATCCGTGTAACTTCCAAAGAATCATGGCTTTCACAATGTGCCACAATTCCTTTTAATGAGGATCCTTGAACTCGGAGGGCAAAGTTTAAATGACATAATTGATTTATTCTGGTTAGCATCTTTTAAGCAAGGTTGTTTTTTATGTGATGGGGTTGATGACTTTATGCCTTACCCTCTTCTTTTATTCGAGCTTTGAACCAGCATTAACTTTAGAAGGTCTAGGGGTCATGATAATTATAGTTATAATAATTATGTAGCTGTCAAATATTGAATGTTATTGGTTAGTTTATTACATCAGTACTCTAATATTTGATGTGCTATCTGAAAAAAATCATGTTATTTTAAATACCCCTTATTTCTTTAAACTTCCAGTATTGTTAAGCCTTCAAAAGCCTTATATCATACTTTTACATATGATTTCTAGACTAGTTGATAATGACCTAATAGAATTTACTGGTATAGTTGTGTTGAATAGGAATATATTTTAAAGTAATGTAATAATTAGTGCTTTAACCCTTTATTGTTTGTTTCAGTGTTTGGGTTAATGAGTATTGGTCACGTTGCTGTTAAATGTGTTGAAGAAGCCGAAATCACTGACGCCGTATTCAATTTATACTTGAAATCAATATTGGAAATGGCATTTTATGTACTTCAAACATTGTTTATACTCAGATATCATAGGGTATGTATGCTGATATTTTTTTAATAGCCTCATTAATAAACAAATGTGAGAACTTTAAAAACTGCCTAAGGATAATATAAATGTTAATAAACCAAAAAAGAATGATTGAGTGGTTTTTATTCTAGAAACATTGAAATTACAACAATTCTCATAAATTGATCACAAGTAGAATTATTTGTTTAATAAACCAAGCTAGAATTATAAAAACTTAGTAGCTGAATGGTTAATAAGCTTTTGATAATGCAATGAGAAGACGAAGTTTATCAGAATTATAGTGATATATTTGCGCAATACATTTAGAACAATCTGATCACACATATACTTGTTAAGACATTTTTATATGAAAATTAAAAGTTCAACTAGACAGGTTAAAGGTAAGCCGTAACAAAGAGAAAATAATAAAGTACATAAAAGCAATGTGATAACCACTCTGGATAATAAATCAGTATTAGCAGGGTAGTTTAAGGGTAAGGACAAATTGTTTTTGAACGCGTGAAGGGGTTTTCAGTTTCCGTATAGCCATGGCTTCAATAAATCTTAGTATACGTCCTTGAAGGCTTTTGTACAACACTACAAATGCTGACTTGATGTCAACCTTATGACCAGTCTCAATCAAATGTTTTCTTTTTTTTTGACTAACATTTTTTATTGTCCAGCAATAACTTGTCATTTGTGATTCCAATGGACACTATTCGTAAGTCAGTGTATGAACATTATCCTGAGTGACTGAGAAAAATCATACAACCGATTAGAATAAATAGTCGTTCATACGTTTAAGACTGAACATAAAACGAAACAAGTAGTTTATCAAACTTTTCACAAACAATTAATATTCTGACTGACATCGACTTTTAACAGAATTAGTCATGCTATTCTTGAGTGGTAAAACGTATTGTTTTGACTCGGTATAATATTATTGTTTGGATTACTAATCACCTGTGCAATATAAATCCCTATTGTAAATTTGTATTTCAGAATGATAGTTACGTATTTATTTGTATTGAGCTGACATATTTTTGTTAAGCAATGTACTAGACATTTTCACTAATCTCAGTCAACCCCTTGAAAATATCCGTTGTTATATGACAAAATTTGTAACATAACAAAAACTTCGTTTCCCAGATCAGCATTAATCAAAATCGATCGTGTTATCTGAAAGTGCTTGTAGAAACATATTAAACGTCAGTTTATTATATGACCTAACCACAATTACATAATAAGAGGAGTTGTATTATATTATGAATCTCGGCCATAGTAGGATAAAACAGATATACATATGAGAGATGTCATTATATAAGACCTAAAAATCAACTGCTGTCGTTTTGCCTTAAACTAATTATTGTAGACATATATATCTTAAGATATTGATTTACATGAGGAAAGTGCGTTGTCTGCTTCATGTTAATAATACCAATGATCGAAATCTCAATGAAACTGAATCTTTTGAAATATTTCACTGATTTGTGACGAAGTCAGTTTTCTTTTTAATAGTTTCTGTTGTAACGTGTGAATTGCACGGTTAGATGCGCAGCGTTTTATCGATCGATTACAGTGACACGGAAAACACGTAGTGAACGACCTAGTATCCTGATTGGTCCCGCTTCCCTGTCTAGCCCAGCCAGTTGAATCTAGAACGCAAGTCACAGCCTCTGAGTTATGAATCATTATATTTCAGACACACTCTATTTATATACCAAACAAACAAACCACATCGTACCATAAAATAGAAAACAACATTTACACAATATTTAACAAGTGAAACAAATGTCGACCAATAGGGAGTGTACATTTAAGGCCCAAGGTCACCATTAGACTTGACATGATAATTATTGGTATATTCCTCTGCATACCTAACAGTTTCATATTTTGATAACTCCATATACTATAATTTCGGGAGTTTAAGTCATCTAGATGCAAGATACTTTCTGTATTGACACTCATTTTTAATTATGTAAAATAAATCCATGTTGAGGCGCTGATGTTTGAGCAAGTCGTAGATCAATTCAGACTGCTAATAAAATTGTTATTGTGTATATATTAGTTAATTATTACATACCCTCCTGATCGAGTTTCTTAATAAAATTTCAATGGTCAATTATTTTTATTGTTTAAATAGGGAACAAAAATTAGTAGCACCCCATTCTGACCAGAATAATCATGTACTCACTATTGACTGGCTCCAAAATGATTTCCTGGAGTTTTATGAGAAGCCGTGACCAGTGGAGTTCAATCCTCAGACAATAGTTGAATGATTTCGAAGCTATTCATGTATCGATGGATATATCGGATCAGTGATCTAAGCGTTAGCGCGCGAGACCGTAGGTCCTGGGTTAGGATCCAGCGTGCGGGGTCAGGAACGTTCAATACTGAGGAGTTCCATACCAGGACGAAATGACTATCCAGTGCTTCCAAGTTTTCCATGGTAGTCTAGCTTACATAGACTCATACACATTTCATAATGATGGACACTTATATGTTGTATCGGTTTAACTAATCTATTCTAATTAACTGTCATTGACTTGTTTAATTAGTTTGTGTCAGTTACCTGTTTTAATCATCTTAAGTAATCGAAAAATAACTATATTCAAAAAATGTCTTTTAAAATATAGTGTTTATTTTTCCTTTACAGTTAGTAATCTTACAATACAATGAAGTTATGGGTGCATTTCTTGTTCACCTACTTACTACAAATTTATGTATATGGGCTGATATATCTGTTGGAAAAATTGATAAAACTTTATGGTATGGTAATCAAAAGAAAACTAATGATTATATGTATAATCATACTTATGGAAATGGAAATGAATCACATTATCATTATTTGAAATTAATTAATGGAAGTGAAATGAATAATTTAACCTTATTAGATAATCGAACACATTTGTATAATTTAGTTGATATTTCTTTTTATCTTCTACCAACTGTTAGTGAATATTGTTTATTAGCTGCAGCATTATTATATGAAATCGTAATGAGAATTGGTCAACCAACATTTATTGAAATAGAAAGACCGCATGATTCAAAAAAAGTAAGTTTTTAAAGGTTCAATGAACTATATAAACTTATAGTTTTAATGAAATATTATATAAGCTTTATCATTCTGTTCAATATCTTTTTTGAAAAAATCAACAATCTTTTCATTTACAAAAGATACTGTTTTCAAGTTCGAATTCAAGAGGAATAAATTTTATGGTAACAACTTTTATAGTCTAAGGAATAACTGAATAGTTTGATAAAATATTAAGAAATTAAACTCATTACAAACTGGAATCAGTTAAGAAATTGGAACTTTGTTGACAAGTATGAATCCATTCCATAACTTTGAAAGTTTGTTATTTTTGAATATATAATACTTTTAAAAAAGCGCTTGAAGTCTATGATTTCAATCTCAAAAGAAGCGTCATATATAGACGGTATAAAAATTTAGTGCTTCCTGGTTTTTAGAGTTTATATAAATTAAGTACGTCCATGAAGTAAACTATTTACGAAAGATAAATATACATTTTCAAACGGTCCATGGTGTGTTGTTGCTGACTATTAACAGCTAATTAAATCTGTATATTCTTTTCATAATATAAGATACTATGTCAAAAATAGAGTTAAATTTTCAAGTTTGTTATAGATCCTAGCTAGTTACAACACAAATAGATGCATAGAATTTCTGGAGTCTCGGCAATTAATTCATCCAATAAATACTAAATATTTCGATATATGGTTTAACGGCCGAATAATGTAAGAAGAAATAGCCAACTATTAAATCATTGATACTAACTAAAAAAGGTGGTAGAACTATCTGAACAAATAATAACACAATAACTTCTTATAAACAGTCATATTCTGTGACAATAGAATAATCCATCAGTGACTTAGAAACAAATTCTACTGTTTCAGTGTTTTTAAGTTCTTAGCTTTGATATGATCAAAAAAGACAGTGATAATTCCACCATTAAAACATACAGCTAAGATAATCTGTAATCATTCATTCATTAAATTTTCATGCTTAGCTACACACAGCTTTCAGAATGATGAAATATTCTAACTTCATGGTCATTGTTTGTTTGTGTTTTTAGGCTTAAAATGATTTTAACGCCATTAAATATAAAATCAAGTATAAGTTACTTGAAAACAACTATAGTTCAGATGAATCTTACTTATGCAGGTTTAAAAAAATATTTGTATATGGATATGTTAAACAACAGAAATTTATTCAGATCAATATGGAGATCAAGCAAAAATATTTGCCATAGGCATTTTTTTATATCACAAACTGTCAAATACTATATAACTTATGGAGCTATTGATTTATTTATGAAAATGAATGCTACTGGCAAAATTTTCTGATTTGTAAACACAATAATATCAGCAGAACCGAACAGTCTAAAAACATTTCAGCAATAATATCGTCAATGTAAGGTTGTTCAGATTGTTAAAATGTCATTAAAATCAGGAATCAATCTGTTGGACAACCATTGAAAACGTGGAATTACTGAGTGGCCGTTTTGTCTTAGCATGAAGCTCCTAAGAAGCTCACATCTACGATCCTATATTCAGAGATCGAACCCAGGACATTCATTTCAGCGAGTGAACACTTGATCTCTAGATTACTGATCCGGGATCTATTAGTTTACAAGTCGGACTTGCTGAGAAGTCCTATACAAAGACGAACTGACCATTTAGTACTTCCAGATTTTCAAAGGTTGTCTAACCTAAATCTGTTCGTGATTTCAAAGCAATAATATTGTCAAACATTTTTGAATTAACAGAATATGATAATGAATGCTGGGAATTTATGGAAAACTTGTACATCTCTATTCAACGATTAGTTTCATATTCTTTGCAAAACTAATAGCCATCGTTTTTATTTCTTAAAACGTATCTAAATGAACCTAACAGTCTAAATGACTTTTATCGACAAATAAACATGATAAATATGAAAATTCTGATTTCTATAATTTTGTATTGAATAGTGTAACCGTTTTTAAACATTTATGTTTCCCAATTAAATATTCAGCTGATATAAATGAAATAAAGTGTTGATATTTACAGTTTTATGGTTCACTTTTTTTATATCTTGTCAGTTACAAGAAATGTTTCAATGGTTACTAAGTTGCAATAAAATTATGTTTATATATGTTGAAATAATCACCTTTAATTATGAATTTCTTTGGAATTTCAATATTCACAAGTAAATTATCAAAATAGAAACATTAACTGATTCAAATAGCTTAGAATTTAGATCATATGGGTTATGGTGATTCTATTTAACCTTAAATGTCAGTACAAAGAATAATATCAGGTGAAATATTATGGCACACTAATTAAACAGAATTATATAAGGGAAACTAAGGGAATTTCAACTAAATCAACGTTGGGACTATTGATTATAAAACAGGTTAAAACTAATATTACAGTTATAACTTAATGTGTGTATTATCTAAAAAGATTCAGCAAACTCTAATAAACAGCTCATTATATCACATTCTAGTTTATAGTCTTGGCCAACTCAAAATAATTCAAGTAATCCATCGTGACATTGAATAAGCCAGAATGAATTCAGCAAAGAAAATTTTACTTTCGACGAAATCAATTACTTAAACTATACATTTGTATTTGCAGTTGTTTGATAAATATGTGTCTGTAGAATAATAAGAAAGATTCCATCACGTGATGATAGAAATCGCTTTAGGTAACGTTCTGAGACGTGTTTGGAAAGTAATCGCTTTCTGCGACCAATCTAATTTACCCCACAAGTACAGGTACATCTATAGATGCACACTAATGTGGCCCAAAGAAGACGTTTGTCCTTGATACGTCAGTGAATAGTAGGCTAGCTTCAAGAGGCAATACGAAGCTTATCTGAATGAGTTTTATTCAGAGATTTTGAAATCCGTTTATTCAAAATTTCGACAGCTATACCTCATTTAGATTCGACATTCATACAAAGAGTTTTTGGTTGAGCTATCGGTGCTTTTCCAAAAATATATCAAATACCTATAAATACGGACGTGAAGCTTAAGTAAGAAAACTCCCCTCAATAAATTCTTATTTTTATTTAAAATTAAAACATTTATTTATTTATTGTATATCGTCTGTAATTGTTAGATCTTTGAACTATTATGATTGGTGAAGCACGCAATTGAAGAACAGTTAGACACATAAATTGTTAAGCAATTCATGTCTAAAATAAACTTTCACTAGCGTGAAACTTTTACGTTTCAACTTTGTACTAAACAAATTTTTCATGATGATTAGTTGCTCACAACTTTACATTTCCTTTATTTTACTAGGATCACACGGTACTTCAAGATTGTCGTGGTTGGAGTACAAGTTCTGGAGCATGGTTTGGTATAATAACAGTACTTATAATTATTGCATTAACAACATTAACAGTATCTGCACCGAATCATATTGATTTAAAACAAAACTTATGGAAATGTATTGTTGTTTTAGCTGAAGAAGCTGTATTAAGCCTTTTTGGAATATTATTTGTATTAATGGCATTTTATCAAACAAGACGTTTAAAATTTAGTATTGCTACAAGACAAAGTCGTGTTGATGAATTTCTTTTATATACAGCTTTCTTTTTTGCTGCCAATTATACAATAACAACAATTATATTAGCCGCTGATTTAGAAGCAAAAGGAAGTGGTATATCTAACACGGTATGGTATTTCTTTTTCTAAGTTTTCAATCTCCTTCATATCTTTTGTTATTGTAGTCAATAATTTGTTTATCTGCATATTTTTTTTATTTCTGTATATTTTACCCTCATTATTCACTAACTCACAAAAGTAATCACTGCTAGATCTTGATACAGGAGGTGGTATTATTATTAGTGGTTTCATTCAATGATATATTTTTGGTACAATATAGATACAATATAGATAATTTGTTGAAAAATCCAGATGGCAGGAACAGGTAACCCAGATATTCAAGCAGGCCACCTTGTGAGTTTCACAAATTACACTGATTAAATTCAGTAATTAAAGTTATATATTATGAAAACATTCTATGTATATACATATATATCCATTTCATTATTGAAACGATGAAGTATAGATTTTTAGCATAACATTTAATAATTATACATCATAGTTATAGTTGATACTTTAAATTATCTAACCAAATGATAATCTAAAGATACTGTCACGAGATTCTAATGCATAGTAATCGTTTGCAATTTTTTTACATTAGGTTAAATTAACTTTACAATTTTATTTTTCTACGTTGTTATACAACATTGACATTTACTTCCGATGTTTTTCTTTGAAAAAAACCCTGCGAATATTGTTACACGTTATAAAATCATTTTTAACTAGATCAACTAGGAATTATTTCTTTTATTTTATATCTAATCTAGCCTGTTGTATGCCTTGATGATATTCTTGTGACCATCGAGTTGCTTGATAGGACAGTGCATAATGTTATTGTTGTGTATTACGTTCAAAGAGAATTCTATGCTATATGGATGCAAATCCACCCCCCGTTATTGTTCCTTTTGTTATGTTTGTTGTTTAATAAATCAATAATATGTACTAAAATCCATTTTTACTCATTATTAAAACTTTAGATAATGAGAAGACAATAAACGAATAATAAAAAACCAATCCATTAATAACCAAGTAATATATTTGAATGAATAATTGATTAGTTTAATAAAAGAAAGAAAAGTTTTTTTATGATCAACGCAATTAATTATTTATCAGTAGTGGTAAAAAGTAGAACAAAAAAAACTTCAATCAATAATTTTTGAATTATCTAAATTAGCTAGTAACAAAATTTGTGTATTGAATAGTATTGTTCATTTTAAAAGTAGAACTATGTATTAATAACATAATAAATTTATATTCTTATGAGATTATTGGCTTTATGCTCTTTCTTTAAAGATTTCAACAATAACAAATGATATATATGATTGTGCGCTCAGTACTAAACTATTTTAAAGTGTTTACAGGCTAATTTTAAGTAAATATAGAGTGAAGCTGTTATTGTAGATGAAATAGATAAAAACTGTCACCTTGTATGTAAATATGGATAAGGTGATCTAAGAGAGACTTCGTTATCACAAAGTTTGAAGTTTGTGTTATTGGTCCATTGGTAATGATGATATTGATTTGTATTTCTGGGATATCACAAACTAAAAAGTAGGATCTCTTCACTGTTTCTTGACTTTTCAGGGTCCTTCAGTGGTGTTCATAATAATAGAAGAGATTGAAAATGGAGGTGATTAAAAAAGGTGCTCATTAATAATTAGTTGCCCTAGTTATTTTATGATTATGGTAATAAGACTAAAGAATTGTTTCTTAATTTGCAATATTGGTTGAATGTAAACTCTTTTTCAGAACTAGGAAACTACATCTTTGATTAACCATAGAGGCAAAGAAGTAGGATGAACTGAAGAGATTTAAAAGGCTTAAAAATGTTATTCGTCTTCTTGAACCTCGCCCTTATTAATGTTAATCCGTTTCAACCGTACTTTCTTGCTCGTGTGCTTCAACAGATGTCAATGCGTAATGTAAAGTAACTATAAACTGATGATTTTTTCTTAACAGATAGTGGCCTAAGCTATATCGTTATTTAGCTAATAGAACTCTTTTTAAACAAGTAGAAAACAGCACTTGGAGAAACAAATTCTTGGAGCGACTATGATACCGCATTTGGACAACAGAATCAAATGAAATTTAATAAACTTTCCTAAATGGATGAATGTAAACGTAACATTTCCATTTATCTGGAAAAAAACAGGGAGACTGTTCACCAACCTTTTTGTTTTGATAAAAAAATTTAAACCCCCATGTTGAGCATTAAATAGAAAGTGTGTTTGTCCAATGTTTCCTATAGATAGAAAAATCCATCAACTAATACTCTGAATTCCAAAAGCTGAGTTATTGTAGCCACTTACTATTTATTGACTGTTGGTACGACTATATCATAGATTGGTTTAACCCTGATTGTTTTGGTGTGATTATTTGAAAGGCATCAGTTACATACAATATCATAAGGTGAATTTCGCGTACTTGAAATAGGCCTCAATGGAACAATTGATCTGTGTATATGTAATAAAGGGATTATTATTAAATGTATCACTCATTTAAATTCGATACTTATAAGTGAAATCTATGGCGGATATGACGGGAATAGGTTTGCTTAACATCTCATGTTATTTTATACTTTTCACGAAAGCGGCCCATTAAAACATCCTATTCCTGTTAATCACACTGATCGACTAGAGACTCTCGAGTGGTTACATGAAAAACTGTCACCTACCAGCCACACGTTGAGAAGATCAATGTCACGGTAGACAGGCCTTTTAGATATTGTGCTGACACGAAGATTAGATCTATCAATTGAAAGTAATTAAACAAGAAAAGCTTATGGATGGGCTAACATATACATTTTTATAGATTTGTACCACCAAAGTACAAAAACGTGGTGGGCAACTTGGTTCTAGAGTAGTGGCATTATGGTCTATGGAAGAGGAGTTGTACGAACTGCTTAAAGGTAACGGAGTAAATGGATATCCTGGGAAGTATATTGTCCCATACTAGGACGAAACATCCGTCCAATGCTCACGGGTTTTCTAAGGTAGTCTAGCTTCAATCGAATCATGATCTCAACTATTAAAACCTAGATTGGTTTAATTAATTATTACGTCATCACACATTTGAGCCATCTTTTTTTAGCACACATTTCACATTTATCATTTTTTTGTACTTAATTCTGATCATTTCTCGCTATACTTAGTCTCTGATGGATCTTTTGATTTGATTATTAATTGTAATTGTATATCTCATCCTAGATCATCACTATTTATTAATATTATCATTTTCGCAGTGTCGTTTGGCCAACAAGCTGATACATCTCAACATTTAGAAACCTAGATTTATAAGCTCAATTATGAATTTGGACATATACCTATAAAACCCAGTGTAAATTTATCGAAAAATGTACTCTTCGTTCACATATTTGAGTTTCAAGAAATAGCAATATCAACTAATGTTTACCAGATATTTAAAAAATATACTTCGATATTTTTTATGAATAGTTTCCTATTTTCTTTTTCAATTGCTCGAAATATCTTACTGAAGAACAGGTCTAGAGTATATTATAGTAGTACGTATTATTGTAGTGAACGGGAACACAAGTGGGGACAATCAAATGTCGTCTTAGCAAAATCTGATTATCATACAGTAAATTCTTCATTTGCAAAATTTCAGTCCATCGTCTCAATCTTGACTGTTCCGTCTGCAAAATTTCAATCAATTATCTCAAACTTCACTGTTCCTTTATTCCCATATCAATAACTTTCTGTTCTCGTTTTTTTTCCTTCGATCTTCTCAACCTTCCACCTCCAGGCATTGCACTTTCGATTGGTAATGCATACTACTTATATATGTCGAGATCGATAGTACACACCACAATATATTTTACATATTACACATAATTTATGGTACTCATTAATGATTTTTCAGACTTGCCAATGGTTTTTCCAATGAATAAAGTATAGTACCAGAAGAGTTTTTGTAGATAATGTAGTAATTCCAATAGTTAAGATCATACGATAATTAAAACTAGACCACCATGGAAAATTTAAGAAGCACTGAACTGCCGTTTCGTCCCAGTATGCGACTCATCAGCAATGCGCATCCACGATACCGCTCGCGAGATTCGAACACTTAAGCTCTAGACCACTAAGCTGGTCGGCATCCGACGGTGTTGATGTCTAACTTCAACTAATCCACGAAATTGAGCGACACATCCACCATTGTCATCAGTGAGTTGCTACCACACAACAGACCCGGTTGAAATCTACTGGTCACGAATCCTCACTAGAACTCCAGGATATACCTCTTGGAGCCAGTCACTAGTGAGCATATGATGATGATGATCAGAAAGGGTTTTTGTGAATATTATAGTAATTTTAATAGTTGAGATCATGAGTCAATTGAAACTAGACCACCAAGCGCATTTCTATGCTAATGTGGTATGGCAACTCGAACTGGTGTACGTACATACGAAGTTCTACGTTATTACTGACTGACTGACTGAGACCACCATGGAAAACCTGGAAGAACTGAACGGCCGTTTCGTCCTATTATGGGGCACATTAGCAGTATATATATATATATATATATATATATATATATATATATATATATATATATATATATATATATTATGTCAGTGTACTTTAAAATAAAAAATCACTAGTTTTATCTGAACAAATATACAATAATCATAAATGTTACATTAAAAAAATAACCTAACCACTCAACTGCGACCATCAAAAATCACAATCAAAAGGCTTTGTTTTCTGACCATAATACAAATATTTTTTAGAATAGTTTATTAGAAAACAACAAACCGACTATATAAATGAATTGGAAAAAAGAATATTTTAAACATTATATAATCATTCAAGTGGTTCAATGTAAATATTTTCTCTCTATTATCTATTTTATATATAGTTTCTGACTGTACTCTACTTATGTTAAATAAATAACAAAATCTAATGAAGTATATCCATTAAAAAAATCACATAGTAACCTACTGATTTTCTAAAAAAAAATTTTTTTTAATATCACATTTATAAATAAATAAATAAAAATGTTAGTTAAATTTCAAATACCATTTGTTACTCAGTGAAAATATCGAATTGATATTATTGTTAATTAATCTCGAAAATATTGAAATAATTCAATGATAAAATATGTTTTAATCATTAAATATTTGTATACTTTATTTAATATTGTAATCAGTTGGAAGAAAAAGATTTAAAACAAATGGTTTCTTTAAAAAAAAAAGAAAAAAAAGAAAAATTAATTAGATAATTAGATACAATAAAAAACACTGTTGGGGGGGATATTTTTCTATTTTTGTTTATCTTATGATCTGTTAACTAATTAAAATGTTTATAATAATCAATTGAATACATGTGTCAATTAAAGCTAGATCATCGTGGATAAATAATGAAAGGTTGTTTCATCCTAGTATAGGATTCTTCAATGGTGCGCAATCACAATTCTGCTCGTGGGATTCGTATACAGAAACTTTGGTTTTGAACGTGAACGCTCAACCTTTAAAATAATGAACCTGTATTCAATGATGTTAATGTTTAATTTCAAGCAATACATGAAATTGTACCACTGTCCACTATTTTATCCATTTGTTAACATATAAATTAATAAATATATGAATTAAAACACGAAATTCAGCGAACGGATCTCTTTTCAATGAATTTATTATCAAGCTGTACAATCGTATATATATATATATATATATATATATATATATATTCGTTGAAAAGAGCCCCCTTTGCTGAACTTCGTGTTTTAATTTTAATGTTTAAATGGGAATTATCTGTCAAATTATGAATATATGTTGAAATGTAATAAGATAAAAATTACTGAGGCTTCTTTTAAGCTTAATTATTTTAGAAAACGTAGATCAAAGACTATATTTCGATCATAAAAACCTACTCTTTTTTTCTCTAGTTCTATTTTCATTTATTGTCATGATGTTTAATTGTGCTTAAACTGTATAGGATTATTACTGAATTATTCCTAATCTTCTAGGAGGCATTTTTCAATAAACTTCTTTATCGTAAAGAGGATATTTAAAATTAATGATATAAATTACTTTTCATTAGGTTTTCATTAGAGAAAAAGATACAGAATATCAAAGAAATGCTTACTTTAGCCCCACTTCCTAAAGTTGGTATAATAGCTTGGAGGTTATTTAGTTTGTGTCTAGATGTATGCTTAAAATGACAAGCGTGTTGTCAAACTGTATTAAAATATTACGTTTATCTTGAAAAAACATGATTTTCTTTAGTAATTCCACTGTTGGCTTGCAAATATGAAAGATTAATGTAACATTGATACTGATTGGACTAGTTTGTATGTAATATAGTTATAAATAAAAATTAAGATTTCATGGAGTTGAGCAAAAACAAAACTCTAGGTTATGCAGTTTGCCATCTCATGATCATTTATGCAAAACAAGCTTAAATCTGGTTTATCTCCCTTCTCTTACTATGCCATATTAGTAAGAATAATTAACTGATGAAATGCTATTTGTTTTTCTCTGTGGCAACTCATATATCAAAAGAATATTATTTCATTAAGGCTATTGCTCATTATAATGCGTTGATTCTAAATTAAAATGACGTTATTCATTGAATTTTGCATAAAACACAAGCTTACAAGCTTGTGTGATTTTAACTTCCTATATGTCGCAATATAATGCAGCTTTTTAAAATAATGAGACTGATTATTTATCTAGAAAATTCTAAAATCCATTTTTATGCATTACCAGTAATAGCTCACTCTAAACCATGTGTAACTCGGGCACATTATATTTTATGTCTAATCAAAAGTATTTGAAGTATCTTGTATAGTTACTCGATAAACATAAGGGCTAGTTTAACAATTATTAACGTAGTAAATAAATAAATTTTTGATTGTCAATTTGCCTAAGTGATTTTAATTTTGTATTTGTAATTTCGAATTTCAAACTTTTTAATACGCTGTGAACTGATAATTTCTTCTATGTACTATATGTATTTATCTTCATTTTAGAATGGTAGTGAGAAACACTTACTAATTGGTCGTTGTTTAGTAAATGCATTTGAATTTATTCAGATGGTTTTGCAAACATACTTTGTGCAAGACAGCTTTTATCGATGTAGTGATCGAATAGAACAGCAAATTGTCAAACCTGGAAGACAATCTATTGTTGCATTGCTGGGAATAAATTTAGCTTTATGGATTCAAAAAAGCTTTCAGGCAAGTACTTTCATATGAAACATGTAACAAGTAAAATTTGCAATTCATTCGCTTGTCAGTGTATCAGTCATAATTTTTACAGTAGTACAGACAAAATTAAACGTAAACAGGGGAACATCAAGGGCATTGTGCATTTCCACAATATATATAGCACACGTTTCTTACTGTAAATCCTCTCAAAATGGAAACCTTATTCCATATTGATACTATGATTTACTTTGTCAAACAAATTCCAATTAGTGCTAATCAATTTGTACTTCGTCTAAGATCCAAATTTCAGTTGTTCGGAAATACTAGAATAATGTTTATGGGAAGTTGTAACAAGTATTTAGGAACGTTAGTTATAATACTACCGAGATAAAGTTCTTTCTAGTGGGCTTTTAATTTAAGCATTATTCACTTGCTAGCCTAAAATAGTGCTTAAATATTTATAGCCACAATTTAATTAATCAACCGAAAGTCATCCAATTCTTACCTTAATTATTCAACAACTTTTATCCATACATACACTACATATTCGTTTACTTCATGATTCTTCAATTTTATAGGAATAATTCTCTTAGATATTTTTGTATATTCTATTGCTTAGCCTATAGATATCACTCAAATATATCGAGAGCTTAATCAACACCCTCATATTAGTCACTGATCTCTGTAGTTTCTTCTGAAAGCACTATTCAGCATTATTTTGTTTACATAATTCATAATCTAACTAGTGATAACGGGAAGAATCACCATATTTATAATGGCTTTGATGCTGGTAGAAATGAACAATTTTGTTGTAGAAACATTCATGACAGAAAAGATTCCGGTACGTAAGAACGAATATATTGTAAAATCAGAATTTAAACTGGTTCGCAAACCACACTGATAAGTTGATGGTCACATACCCAAGATCGATCACTGCATTTTATTCAATATTGTACAAAGATTGCTGTATATGGCTTAACCTACCGATACACTGATCACTTAGTATAGCATGTCAGCATTCATAACCACATTTTGATATGCTTATAAGTGTTGCTTATTCATTGCATAAATTTACAGTAAAAATTCAAGCTGAATCCAGTGACAGAAACAACGGTGCTTACAACTTTGAATATATTAGATAGACCTCAACGATTATCTAACCATTTACTGAATTTTAGAGGACTACCGGTCACAAAAATCTTTAGTACTAGATTTAATTTAGATAAGAAAAATTCCTAACTAGTTTTAGTTTAATTCCTTAGCATATGCTAACCAATAAAAATTCTACAAACTGGCATTTGACCTTAGTTTGGAAAGATTTTTCGTAAATTATGTTAGTTACAACTAGAAGAAGAATCATTGTTGAAAGTAAATAAATAATTTCCAACTCTTACAATGCACAAGTACCATTTTAGTGCATTTGAAGAGCCCTTAAAAAGTTTACCGATCATTCAGGTCAATAGTAAGTGGATAGAATGATTCTTAATGTACGTAGTGAAAAATTCTTGATCAAGTCAATGCCAAACAAATTTATTTTCTTGAATCACTTTGTAAACAATATAATTTTTGAGTTAGTGTCAATTATTTGTTTGCTTATTTTGATTGGATTTATCACTAAATAACATTGAAAAGGATAGTAGTGAAAACCAAAGTACAAAAGACATTTGTTTGGTCCCCCTATAAGAATCTTCAATAGCTCACGTGTTAAGTCCACACGAAATTGAACTCGAGACCTTCATATTTGACAATGAGCAGTATTTTATTTAACCAACAGATAAGAACCCAAAATCTATATTTATAAATGTATTTTTGTCTCTCTAATTCTGACCATAACCTAATGTTATCGAAATGTAACTGTAATGTTAAATATATTTAGTGATTATATGGTTCATCTTTGCCGGCAAGTTTTGATGTATAAGTGTCCGAATTCTTGAGCTTAGATTAAACAGAGCTTTCGTACATCCACAGTTTGTACGTTAAGCTCCGTAAAAATGTCATTTAAGCCAATACAGTAGAAGAAAGATACTGATAGTTATGAATCAAAGATAACCTCTTCGTCTCATTGGAACAACGAATAATTTATTTAAAGTGTATTGTTTCGAGATTCTACACAATGAAGATATGAAATAAATATATAAGGCACAATTGCTAAATGAAGTAAATATAATGTGATAAACAATTAAGAAAAAGGAAAAAAACCTATAAACATCAGTATCTCAGATTCCAATAAGTGAAATCAGTTATGGCAATGATTAAGTCAGATTAAATGCAGATTTAGCTTTTTTTACACACAGTAGTATTTATTTTAGTGCTTCTTTAGGGTATAGTGTATAATATTTATTAACCTTTTTCAGATGTCACATTTTTATTCGATTCACCGAAAATTTAGCTGCGAAGAATGTTTGACTTCTGTATCTGTTATATCTGAAAGGGCCGTTGATCAGAGGGTAGTGACTTATCGATCGGATCAAGGGATTCAGAATCTCCGTTGTCCATGACTCAGCTAACGCGATCAAGAAGTCTTGGTAAAGCGTAGAAAGTGTATTCTACAGGAAATCAGCAGATACTAGGTCAGGTCAGGTCAATCAGGCACACAAGTCAAGCGTATTTATATAAATATTTACGATCGATATTGTTATGGTAAAATGTTTTTAGACATTAATCTATAGGTTCATCAATCGACAGCCATTCAAATATTTAATCGATAAGTTCATCCACTGACTGCCACTCAAATATTTAAACATTTAATCGATAAGTTAATCGATAAGAGGAAATTACAAAATATGAGTTTTGGGGATCTATCGTCCCCAACAGTATCATTGTTGATACCTCGCATTAACAGTCATTTCGAAGGCTTGAATTAACACTGTGTACTGCTATTCTCTATGTTGACCTGATGGGCACAATCCCAAGTAGCGTATATTTGTTAATAATGTTTGGTCCGTACATATCCATCTTAAGATTAGGTCAAGAATATCTGCTATATACAAGAACTGTTAAGTACTCTGATTGTAATTAATTTTGTTATGACGATTGAAAGGGAATGTGGACCGGTTTTGTAACCTATTTCTCACTTTATGTAGGCAGACAATTCGGAAATCTCATCGCGTGATTTGTTATTTTAAAACATCGTGATTGCTTCCGCATATGGTAGCTTGATTATTAATGTGAATTAATCACTTCAGAATTCGAGAACTCTTATAGAGATGATAGGAAATGTGAATGATAATCTCTTTCTTTGATAATCGAAATCGACAAACCAGCTTAGGGTCATGTTCAGTTATATCGTATTGAATAAACAGAATTTGAAATATTCCCATATTGCAAATTTAGAACAACATATATAAGCGAACAATATTGTTTTCGATTAGATCCTCATCAGGCTTTACTCTAATATACAGTAATATTTATATGCATATACGAAATTATTAAACCAATCAAGGTAGTTTATAAGTCAATGATAACAATGGAAAAGATTACATAATAAGTAAAATGTGAAAAGTACAAATTGATGGTGTGACAACAGGTGCATTAGTTTTTGATAAGCAATAATAATAAAGGTTCAAATCAATGTTACATAATCTGAAATAGGTCAATGATTAGAAAAATATAGAAACTGAGATAACAATTATAAAATTATAAGATGACGTAATAAGAAATGTTCAGATAATTGGACCATGAAACGTATAGTTGAGAGAAAATAAAGTGGTACCGTTAACAGAGACTATCGATTTTGTGTGCCAACAACTGCAGGAAAAACAAATCAATATTGGAATTCCTGGGGTTAGTCTTAAAGAATTACTTTTAAAATGCACAATGAATGTCCATTTTGTCTTTAATAACACATATTATAGACAAATTGATGGTATAGCGATGGGTTCGCCACTAGGTCCCATCCTTGCGGATTTTTTTCTGGCGAAACTAGAAAACGGACCTCTCAAGGAGGTTATCAATAAACTGGATTTCTACTGTCGTTACGTTGATGATACCTTCATCATTGCCGATCAGAACATTAGAAAAGAACAACTACTGGAACTATTTAATAACAAACATCCTGCTATTAAATTTACATGTGAGGAGGAAATAGATAACAAACTAAATTTTCTGGACATTTTGTTAAGTAGAAAAGAAAATGGTTCTATCAGCAGGGGTGTGTATAGAAAAAGTTCTTCGCCAAGCCAATACACACATTTTTTAAGCTTTGTGCCTCTTCATTATAAGAGAAACTTAGTCAAATGTCTGGCAAATAGAGCTATTAAGATATGCTCAGTTGACACAATTGATAAGGAATTAGAACACATTCATAATATGTTGATTGAATTGGGATATCCACAGGTTTTCCTGAAGAAACACTTGCTTGTAACAAGCAAGAAAATAGTGACACTAACGGCTAATAAGAAACCTCTTTTCTTGAAGCTGCAATTCAGTGGTGATGTATTACGTGATAGACTGACTAGAGCAGTAAAGAGAACGTTTAGTGCTGCCGACCTCTGTCTATCGTATTCGACCCGATCGATGGTGATTCCCCAACTGAAGGATAAGTTACCTGGTTATGCCACTTCTATGTGTATCTACGAATTCAGCTGCTCCTGTAGGGAAAGCTATATTGGGCGCACTACCAGGAAACTGAACCAACGAGTTAATGAACACCTCCCTTCGTGGTTAGGAAAAGGTAATGTCAAGACAATACGCAGCTCGGTTCTATCACACTTGATCGATAGCGGTCATGTAGTGGACAGAAACAAGTCGTTTAAAGTTATTTATCGTATTCGCACTAGTTTTCCTTATGGTGTTCGATCTCGTCTCTTACACATAGCAGAAGCTATAGGAATCCGAGCCAACAAGCCAAGTCTTTGTGTTCAGAAGAAATTTGTAACTCCCTTATCTCTCCCTTGGCCTTAAGTAATAAATGAATTTATTTATTTATTCCTTTTCTAACTTATTTTTCTTCACACCCTCCTACCACTTTATTTTCTCTCAACTATACGTTTCATGGTCCAATTATCTGAACATTTCTTATTACGTCATCTTATAATTTTATAATTGTTATCTCAGTTTCTATATTTTTCTAATCATTGACCTATTTCAGATTATGTAACATTGATTTGAACCTTTATTATTATTGCTTATCAAAAACTAATGCACCTGTTGTCACACCATCAATTTGTACTTTTCACATTTTACTTATTATGTAATCTTTTCCATTGTTATCATTGACTTATAAACTACCTTGATTGGTTTAATAATTTCGTATATGCATATAAATATTACTGTATATTAGAGTAAAGCCTGATGAGGATCTAATCGAAAACAATATTGTTCGCTTATATATGTTGTTCTAAACAGAATTTGACAGAAAAGCATCCCACAGGTCAATCAATGAAATCAAACGGTTCAAATTTTGCAGCACTAGTTAATCCCTGATATTGTTTAAAAATTGTTCATTGTTAATGTCTTGTGTGCCTTAATACTTATGTTTAAGTTAACCTAAAAATAATTGACAAGCACCTGTCAATAATGTTATGAGGTGACCTATCATGATATAGATCTTTCCGTAATACTGTCTCACAATGAGATTTCATAGTTTTGCATGATGTATTAGTAAATGTGGTATTCAAATACTTCTTCATTTGCTTACACGACGACATTGTTTATATCAGTATACAATCAGATCAATATTGGTAAACTTTCATTTTCAAATAAACTCGTAAACACATTTATTTTTGCGTACCTTAAAATATGACCTAAATATTTTTTATCTTTCTAATAATCATTTCAACAACAAAATAATTCAGTTATATTTTATTTCAGCTTAAAAGTGCAGATATCTTATTCATGATGGAAACAAATCGTGGCACATATGGTTGGATTTTATTTGTTGTAACAATGCCCATTAGTTTGTTCTATAGATATCACTGTACAGTGTGTTTATCACAATGTTTCAATAAGTTATACGAAGATGAGGTAAATTACAATTATTTATCTGTTATTATGATTAATTTAAAAAGATAACTTTCATTTGAATTCAATCAGTTTGATGATTCGAACTTAAACATGTTCAGACTGATCAAATTGTAAAGTGACTTCTATTCTCTATTTCTTTTAATTAGCCAATAATGGTTATAAAACATAATACTTACTTAATTCCCTTTACAAAAAAATAATTATTCAAATCTAACAGAGATAGGATATTTGTCTATAAATTTATTGCGCATCTTTTTCTCAATGTTCGATAAAAGTACCATAATTATTCTTGTTCATTTATTGGGTAAATGCTGTGAATTAATGAAAAATTCATCCAATGACATGTTCACAGAAGATATGTGTAGATAGTCCTGAATAACCGAAGTGAAATCCTTAGTAAAAAATCCAGTTCCTATATATAGCACTTACCCACTGAATGAACGGGAAAATGTTTGAAAATGGTGGATATTTTAGCTTCGTTGAATATTGAGGAAAGGATGTATAACCTTACACAACGTAATACTAATTAGTGTAAGTGTCAATCGAAGTAAGTGTAGTGTACGATGGTTTTTCTCTTTTAGTATCCTCTTATATAAATATCTTTTGTTACCTTATTCTTGTAAGTGAAGTTTAGACTAAGAAGCTATAGAGATAACGATGGTCTCTGTAGACAAATAAGTGGTGTCTTTATGGGATCTCAATTGAGTACTCTTCTAGCAGACTGTTTCTGATGACTTACCTGGAGAACACCATCCTTCGATCAACAGTTGATAGAGCTTATTTCTATAAGAGATATATAGGTGACACTTATCATCCGTGACGAAAACAGCGACCGTAAGGAAATATTTCAAGAGTTTAATGATTATCACCAGTCGATTACGTTCACAATATAAGCAGGGTTTGACTGGAAATTCTACGTTCTTAATGTTCTACTAAAACGAAGATCAAATGAGTCTATACAATGGTCATTATACAGAAAGCCAACCTGGAACGGGTAGTATATGAACTTCCAGAGTTGGGTGCCGATGTGCAAATTTAATCCATTTTCTATGTGCAATGAAGACATACTTGATGATGAACTGAATATAATCTAACAAACACTTCTGGAGGATGAAACGTCTTTACTCTTTTCAAATTATGTTCCGTTTTGAACACATTTTACTGCGTCCAAACATATGATATAAAGTTCAAAGATTATCAGAATCTACCTATAAAAACCTACCTCTCGTATGTAATATTTTAAGAAAGCACACTTTGGATCTAACCAAAACTACATCCTTTATATTAACCTGAAATGTATCAACAGTATCTCCAACGTTTGCAATGTGTGGAAATAACTATGTTATTGGAGGTAATTCGGTGAAATCAATTAGCAAACGCTCTGAAAAGTTAAACCGCTCTTCATATGACCGTAATATTTAATTATTCTGCGTTGCATTTAAAACAATTTGACTTTTTGCAAACTTTTATCTGCTTGAAAGTGATTATCGAACTGCTTTTAACTATTTAAATTTTCCGTACTCATAAGAGCATCATAAAAGAATAGCGCAACTACTTAATTCTATTCGGAATCAAAAAATACTTTGGTGTGACTGGTATTCGGTAAAAACCACAATTAATCCTACAAAATTAATAAAAATAGCCAAATAAATACATAAATTATTCTATTCCTACTTATAGTCTAATGTTTGCCAGTTGGTCCAATACTAAATTCCATACTTACTTACTTACTTACGCCTGTTACTCCTCGTGAAGGAACATAAGCCGCTCACCAGCATTCGCCATCCAACCCTATCCTGGGCAATCCTTTCTAGCTCCTTCCAGTTCCTATTCATCCTTTCCATATCTGCTTCTATTTCCCGACAAAATGTGTTCTTTGGCCTTCCACTTTTACGCTTCCCTTCAGGATTCAAAGTTAGGGCTTGCCTCGTGATGCAGTTTGACGATTTGCGTAATGTATGTCCTATCCATTTCCATCGTCTTTTCCTAATTTCTTCTTAAGCTGGAAGCTGGTTTGTTCTCTCCCACAGAAGGCTATTGCTGATGGTATCCGGCCAATGGATGTTGAGTATCTTGCGTAAACAACTATTTATAAATACTTGTACCTTCTTGATGGTGGTTGTTGTAGTTCTCCAAGTTTCAGCTCCATACAGTAGAACTGCCTTGACGTTCGTATTGAAGATTCTCACTTTGATATTGGTTGAAAGTTGTTTTGAGTTCCATATGTTCTTCAATTGTAGGAATGCGGTCCTTGCTTTGCCAATCCTCGCCTTTACGTCTGCATCTGAACCTCCTTGTTCATCGATGATGCTTCCTAGGTATGTGAAGGATTCTACATCTTCCAGAGTTTCGCCATCAAGAGTGATTGGATTGCTGTTCTCCGTGTTGAATTTGAGGACCTTGGTTTTCCCTTTGTGTATGCTGAGGCCTACTGATGCAGAGACTGCTGCTACACTGGCTGTCTTCATCTGCATCTGTTCGTGTGTATGCGATAGGAGGGCTAGGTCATCTGCGAAGTCCAAATCGTCTAATTGATTCTGAGCTGTCCATTGTATTCCGTGTTTTCCTTCAGATGTCGAGGTCTTCATAATCCAGTCGACCACCAGAAGAAAGAGGAAGGGAGAGAGTAAACAGCCTTGTCTGACTCCGGTCCTTACTTGGAATGCATCTGTCAGCTGTCCTCCATGCACTACTTTGCACTGTAGTCCGTCGTATGAGTTCCGGATGATATTGACAATCTTCTCAGGAACTCCGTAGTGTCGAAGAAGTTTCCATAATGTCCTCCTATCTACACTGTCGAATGCCTTTTCATAATCAATGAAGTTGATGTATAGTGACGAGTTCCACTCAACTGATTGTTCGACGATGATCCGTAGTGTTGCAATTTGGTCTGTGCACGACCGATCCTTACGGAATCCAGCTTGTTGATCTCGAAGTTGGGCGTCTACTGCATCCTTCATCCGGTTCAGCAACACTCTGTTGAAGACTTTCCCTGGTATTGACAGTAGTGTAATGCCTCTGTAGTTTTCACATTTGCTCAGATCTCCTTTCTTTGGAATCTTGACGAGGTGTCCTTCTTTCCAGTCCATCGGCACTTGTTCCTCCTCCCAAATCTTTTTGAATAGAAGGTAAGCATGCTTGTGGTTGCTTCGATGTCTGATTTCAGTGCTTCAGCTGGTATGTTGTCGGGTCCTGCTGCTTTCCCGTTCTTGATTTGTCTGATGGCCATTCTGATTTCTTCCGTCGTTGGTGGGTTGACATCTATAGGAAGATCTGTATGTGCTGTCTGGTGGATTCATTGGAGCCGGCCTATTCAGGAGTTCCTCGAAGTATTCTACCCATCTGTTCCGCTGTTGTTGAATTTCAGTGATTGGCTTGCCTTCTTTGTCTTTGACCGGCCTCTCTGGTTTACTGTATTTCCCTGCTAGTTTCTTCGTTGTATCGTGAAGCTGTTTCATATTTCCTTCTCTAGCAGCTTTTTCCCCCTTCGTTGCTAGTTCTTCCACGTATTTCTTCTTGTCGGCTCTAATGCTCCTCTTCACTTGTTTGTTTGCTTCTATGTATTCAGCTTGTGCTTGGACTTTCTCTGCTCGTGTTCGGCTGTTGTTAATTGCTGCCTTCTTGTTCTTCCTTTCTTTGATCTTGTCCAGTGTTTCTATAGAGATCCATTCCTTATGATGGTGTTTCTTTAGGCCCAGAACCTCTTGACACGTTGAAGTTAATGCTTCCTTGATGCCTTTCCAGTTGTCCTCCATACTAGTTTCTTCTTCTTTCAGTAGATCTTGTAAGGCTTGGAACCTGTTGTTGAGAGCTATCTTGAATTCATTGAGTTTGTCAGTATCTCGAAGGAAGGCTGTATTGAACCTTTGTAGTGCTGTTTGTCCACTTGTCCAGTTCTTTTTAGCTTCAGTTTTAAATTGGCTACAACTAGGTGGTGATCTGAAGCTATTTCAGCTCCTCTCCTGGTTCTCTCGTCTTCCATTGTCCTTCGGAATTTTTTGTTGATGCAAATATGATCTATCTGGTTCTCTGTAGTGTGGTCCGGTGAGATCCATGTAGCTTTGTGTATACGTTTGTGTGGAAATATTGTGCCTCCTATGACCAATTTGTTGAATGCACACAGATTTGCAAATCTTTCTCCATTTTCGTTTCTCTCTCCCAGTCATCCATGTCGTCCCATGATATCTTCATATCCGGTGTTGTCTATTCCGACTTTGGCATTTAGATCTCCCATCAGAATGATGAGGTCCTTTCTTGGGCACTTCTCTATGATTGACTGCAGCCGCTCGTAGAATTGATCTTTAATGTCGTCGTTGCTATCATTGGTGGGTGTATAACATTGGATAATATCCATTGTGATCCCCTCCTTCTTTGTTTTGAATGATGCTTTGATGATTCTGGATCCGTGAGATTCCCATCCTACAAGTGCATTTCGTGCTAATTTGGACAGCATTAGAGGAACTTCCTGAGTGTGTGGAGCATTTTCCTCTTCGTGACCGAAGTATAGTAGCATCTCTCCCGTAGTCAGCCTTTGTTTTCCGGCTTGGGTCCAATGGGTTTCGCTGATTCCCAGTACTGCCAAGTTGTATCTCCTCATTTCCGTTGCTATTTGACTGGTCTTCCCGGTCTCCCACATTGTTCGGACGTTCCATGTACCTATAAGAATTTTTGCTCTGGTTGTTAGAAGAGGCATCGGCCTCGTGGCTTCCGAAGGAACTCGGCTTTCACCATGAAGCGTCATAATTCTTCTAAATGAAGACCTTTTAACTTTCAGGGAAAAGTTTAAATGGTTGGAATTATTTTTTTCTGGTAAGCGTTTATTTAGCGAGTAAGCTTTCCACGGGATGGGGTCACTAACCCCATGCCCAACCCTCCCCCTTTACCCGGGCTTGGGACCGTCAGTAACTCTGGAAGAGCTACAGGCGGAGTTACTAAATTCCCTATAACTTTTTAAACCTTTTTAAAGCTTATAAAATATTTGTTTTCACTACTCCTTTTTGCTACTGTTTTTACAGACACATCGATTTGAAGAAATGTGGCGTCACCAAGTTGATCCTTTTACTGATATTCTTGTTCGGTCAACCGACTCTTTTAGTGAATATGAACAAACTAAGACATCTCTTAAACCCACCAGTGAAGTACAAGTCACCATCGAAAATGATGACAGACAAAACAGAAAATTAGCTGTTTTTTCAAAAACAAAACCTTGGAGAACATTTGACCTAACAGACGAAACTGAGAATGATGGTAAAGCAAGCCTAATGGGTCAAAATCATAATGTTTATAATAAATCGCAAGTGAATAAAAGCGGTTATGATGAAAACTTCCCAGTGGGTAACTCGATTCAAGACGACGAAAATTACCTAAAATCAAATAAACAATTATCCGACTCACAAACAAATACAGAAAGTCAAAATCAAGATTATTTACGATGTGATGGTGATGTGTCAGTCCATAATGATGAGGATAAATTTCCAAAAGCAAACAGAACTACTGAAATTTGCCCGTCTGACAACAGTGCAATTATTACACAGAAAAATGATGATCACTTAACTAAAGATCGATTAAGCTCAGCGCGAAACAGTTACACATGCTTAGCAAACCGTAGATATTCTTTGGTAATATTACCTTCAGATCAATACTCAAGTAAGAACGAGGAACTTAACGCAGTAACTATTGACAGTAAAACATTCGACAAAAATCTTCAGGACCACTTGTCTGGAGTTAGACAAACCCCTGAACGCAGACAGGTTAGACGTCGTAGGACATTAAAGAATCTTGAAACTGCAAAGCATAGAGTTCTTGCAGCAGAATTGGCTCATCGGATGGTTATTGAACGAACTAGTGGAGCATCTCCGACTGCATATTTTGTTGATGCCAACATATCTAACTTTGAAAATAACAATCAATGTTCTCTTGAACTAAAAAACTCTTCGTCATTAATCTCAACTAGGTCTTCAGATGCAGTCGAAAATTCTCCTAAACTTACATGCGTACAAAGTCCACTGCATGAATTTCGTATAGCTAAAGCCGTCACTGAGACAGCAGCTATCACAATTGCTCCAGTTGAGTCGAAAATTGCAGCTAACATACCACTAATAACTTTCAATCAATACCCAGATCCACTAAACAAAGAAAGTGACATCAGCCATAAAAGTCACTTATCATTGTTGCAATTTCATCATAGGCGAAGTGCCGCAAACATTAATCGTGTTATGGATGAATTAAAAAATGAGGATGAATTTCAAAAGCGTTTACAGAAACGAAGTTCATTTAAAGAAGGAAACTGGCCTTCGAAAATTGGATTTCATAAATCTTTTAAAAATCATTTCACTAAATCTTCATCACCTGAATCAAACCTTGCTCAAAAGCATTCAAAACCCGAACACAATATATCTAATGAAAAGTCTAAGACCTGTTCAATAATTGTTACTTCTGATCAAACAAATGATAAAAATTCAATCGACTTAACTCTGAGTTCAAGTCCTGAAGTACCCATATGTGACCTAAAATTAACTAAAGGTGAATAGTAACTTATTTTTACTCCAAGTTTATTTTTTACCTCCTTTTATCATTGTTTTATTTTATTGTCCATTAAATTCATGATTTTTAGTCAAAACTTTAGAAATCTACTACTTTTTACATTGATTTCATTCATCTTATTAATTCATACAAAAAAGATCCGGAGGAAACTCAGGTATTTTAATTATATTGAATAGTAGATAATAAATAGTGTATATCATAACCATCTATATTACTCTTATCCATATCATTGTACAAATATGCATATGTCAAAAAAATTTTCTCAAATTTATTTGATCTACTTTTTTTCCTCTGTTGCAAAAATAAAATATATATATATACTCTATTCAGAAAAAACTTAGCTGCATGATAATAACGACAGTAGTAAAAGCTAAGATTCGTTTGTTTTGATTGTTTGAATCCTCTTATTAATGTTTACGGTTTCAATTGGTCAGTTTTTGTTTTGACATATGTGAATCCTGCGAAGAATGTCTCAATATTTACATTGAGTCAGAAGCACTTTTTAAACAGAGATGAATAGTGGGTAGCAGTAGGATGCTGGACCATTGTTTCATCCTACTTGAGATTCGTCAGGTGGATGAGCATATGGAGAGTATAAAAATGCATAATTTCTCAATTATCATTTCGAATTAACACCTTTTGTAAGACTATTATTTGAAGAATTAAAATGATCATGAAAGTTATCTTTTAAATATAAATTCCTCTTAACTCGACACAATTATATATTTTTTGAATACGTTGGATTAAAATGATTAAAGAACAATGAACATGTGTTGTAGTTCAAAGTTATAAATGAACAGTACACACGTGCTGTATTTCAAAACAATAACATTCTTAACATCAGTACTTATCAGAATAATTAGATAGTTTGCATAACAAACAATAACCAAGTACTTTTGTGATTATTCGTTTTTGCGAATATAATTACTCCACAAAATTTTGTGTTTGTTACAACTTCTCAGAAGACCACATCATGAAACGTTCTTTTCAATTCTCAGTTCGAATTAAAAAATACGGTAAAACTGATTATACAGTGAAACAAAATAGTAGTTCATTGCTCTGTGGTGTGTGCTACTGATGTTGATAGATATAATTAATATGTATTATCAATCGAAAGTGAAATGTCTGGCATCAGAAGGTTAAGAAGATCGAAGGAAACAGAACGAGAACAAAGAATGATTGGTGTGGGAACGAAAGAACGATAAAGTCTAAGACGATTGATTGACATTTTATAAATGAAGTACCTACTGTATAATTGTTAGATTTTACTTAGATGTTTTGTCATTTAGTGTTCGAGTACATTCGATGGCGAGACCATAATTTATGGACGAACCGATCAGGTATAAGATAACAGATCTCGGATCTCGGCGCGAAATTCACCAATCTATTTGGCTAAATGGAGTTTTGGCATTATAACTGATGTCAGTTCGTGATGAAAACCCTAAATGTAATTCCTAACTCTAGCCATCAACTGTAAATGATAATTCTAATTCCTCACACTGGCTTATAACCCTCATTTGGTGTTAATTATTAGGTGAAGACTCACAAGGTCAGTTTCGCACCACTCAAAGGTCGTCCATAAATTATAGTCTCACCCATTCGCTTGTCTCCACCTGTCTTTTCGTTCACTACGACTTCACCGATAGCGATGTTTATGATATTGAGTTTATCTTCAAAATTATCACTAATAAACACTACAGTGTGCAACAAATTCGTCTTTGATTAAGCTTATTTTCAAATAAATTATTAAATAGGCAAGTTATTTTTATAGTCTAGGTAAAGAATATAAATTCTGCTTTTACAAAATTACACCAGTCAATTAAAGTCGACTGTCTTAATTCTACCGAAAGTCAATCAAAATTTTGTATTATGATATTTATAAAATATTCAGTATTTTCTAAATTAGCAATCTATCCATTATGTAGCGATAATCATCTGTGTATTACATATCATAACTTAAGAAAGCTTATAGCAACTCACGTGCAATTGAGTGTGTTCACATTTGATTCGGTTAAGTCATTTTGTTAACTTATTAACTAACTTAGTCATCCGCACAACAGCAACTTATCTATATCATTGTATCTTTATTATTGTTGCGAATGTATGAACGTGTATGCTTGAGCATTGCTTACTGCCTACTCATTTATTCACGATGATAGCCTTACTATTAACCGCTTAACTGATTCGATGATTCATTCATTTCACTATGTATATACATATATCCATGTTATTCATGTTCATTGCTCTCTCGCTTAAGTGTACTCACCTACTCATACTCGTATTCGCTGACTAACTCTCTCGCTCGCTTGCCTGCTTGCTTTTCGGCACAACTCTTCCATGCTTGCTTAGCGCACCTGTAATTTTGGATATCTGTGTGTGGTTCCATAATAAACGTATTCAATACTTCGTATTCGCCTTCTCATTAATATACCGTTGGGGCGTTATCTAGTGACGGCTATCAAGACGAACTGTGTACGAAGTTTAAGGATTATATTGAATACCGACCACAACAAGCTTTTAGGCCCAAAGGATATTCAAAACAGTTAAGTTCTTTCCTTCAGATGATGATATGTATTTTTATCGATATTCATCCTGATAATTAATTCTAAATATTAGCTACTTGAAATAACATTGAATAGGATGAGGACAGGAGGAAAACCAAGGCCCTCAAATACAACACAGAGAACAGCAATCAAATCACTCTTGACGGGAAACTCTGGAAGATGTAGAATCCTTCACATACCTGGGAGGCATCATTCATGAACAAGGAGGTTCAGATGCAGACGTAAAGGTGAGGATTGGCAAAGCAAGGACAGCATTCCTACAATTGAAGAACATATGAACTCAAAACAACTTTCAACCAATATCAAAGTGACAATCTTCAATACGAATGTCAAGGCAGTTCTTCTGTACGGAGCTGAAACTTGGAGAACTACAACAATTTTTATTCAGAGACTGGTATTAGACACACAGACATAAAAAAACTAGAAAACATTAGACGACTATTTCGTTATAACATCTGCCGTTGCATCAGTACCTATTTAAAACCAAAACTATGAGACCTTGTGTTATGTTGAAGAAAATACAAAAGTTGCCTTGCTTTCACTCTAATGAAGGGCGACCAAGAATCATCTGAAAATTTGGAGTTTAACAGTGGAATAAATTTTATTTCATATGAGCGAGTTCATTACTTATAAGTTACCTGTGTGCTAATTTCACTGCTAAACTCAATCCATATCTTTAAGGAAACCATCTTATAAACCGGAGAATATAATATGGAATCACTAAATTCTCCTAATAATAAATGGAAGATAATTGAGTGTCGCATTATCAGAATATTTTTTAATCCATAGTTTAGTTTCATAGTCCAAGCCATAGCAACTGACTGTTTTCAAAAATCTGGAGGGTGTGAAGAGCGTTACATACTGATTGTAGCTTAACTACACGAACTTTCCTAGTAATCTATGGCCACCATCAATCAAAAAAACATTGTTTTAAAAAAACGGTGAAATTAAAAATCTAACCAAAAGATTAGAAGTATGTAGTGGCTTAGCTTCACTAATCAATCACCTTGATAACCATTATTATATAAATCCCAACGGTGTTTGAAATCAGATAACAATAAGAAGCAGAGACTACAGTTTATTAGTAGATAGCACAGAACATAATGCTATAAGAATATCGAGCGGATATGGAGCAGATAGGCGAATGAGTGTATGTAATCGTGTACAGAAGCAAATTTATAGTCAAATCGAATCAAGGTGCAGGTAGGAAAGGTAAAAGCTAATAATATGATTCGAGTGCATATATACATGGGGGAAGAGAAAAATTCATCGAGCGATATTTAAATAGTAACATTTTATCTAGAGAGATATGTGTATAGGCTGTCACATGTGATCATAATAGTGTAAAGAAATATGAGAATTGTTACTGTCCGAATAACATTGTCTGTTAAGTGAGTTAATCAAGGGTTTAACCATAATCGAAATTGATTGTAGGAGAACTGTTATAAATATATGTACTTTTTGTAATAAATAGATGACTTTAGGTCGCCTAAATAAAAATATTGTGTATTTAATCTCTGATTATGAGACTAATTAGGTAGTAACTCTTTGGCTTGAGATTATTGTCAAAACTACGTTTACTAACTGATTAATTAATTAGAATTTTCTCTAAGTAATTGAAGAAAGTGTAGATCGCCAATGTAGATGATCTATGTTGGATGACTGGGGACTTATTCAAGTTAGATGGGAATGGTGTGATCAGCAGCTCACTTCGAACTGACACCTCGCGGTCAGCAACTAACGTGGGCTACCCCTTCGATGTATCAAAGTACTATGACTGTTTTGATGACCGTACAAAACAAAGGACGTTATTACGGAAATAGATTAGTAAGAATAAGTACAAGCGAAAGTGTGACCACTATCGCACGGCCCGGTCCATGGTGTACGATTAACTGATACTTGTTGGTTGTCCTTGACCTTGACAGGGATCACTGATCTGTTCGATATTCAGTAAACCAACTGCAGATTGATTGGGCTAGAGCTCAGGGAGATTTCACTAGCTCTACGAAACAATGCATGTTATATCTGTAGTAAAAGCTTATTCATACGAGTTTTAAATATAATTATGATGGACTTAAGAAAATGAGCTGACTGTTTTCTCGTATATGATATTGTAGCAGATAAGCGTACACCTACTAATTTACTGTTCGTTTTGACTGCATCTGTAATTAATCGGCAAAGTGATTGCTACTCCTAAACAATATTTAACATTTTAAAACAAATGGTTAGATAAATCAATCAATAGTTTGATATTTTTCATAAAATCCATAGGTTTTAACAGCATAGTTTTTCATACTTTTAATTCTATGTTATTGTAGTTCAATTCCTCTCTCTACCTCTCTTACCTGGTCTTCATCAAACATTCTGTAATAATAATAATAATAATAATAATAATTTTTATTTCCCTGTCATATGGGATAGAT